GCCTACTGTTCGCTTGACTCAATTATCTCTATCTTCAATCTATCTGCATATCTATCTATCTCACTGGCTTTATTTGCCGGGCTTATATACTAAAAAAGAGGGAGCCTGGCAAACACTCGAACATTCGCGGGGATCCTCGATAAGTCATGATCCTTCTAGAAACTCCAGCCTGCATGCTCCCAGCATTGCGTGACTTCCGCTGTCGTAACAGAGCTTTATCAACAAATCCTGAAAATGAATTTTAGATTTTATACAAAAGTATACCATTATGAAGTAAACAAACTAATGATAAATTATTTTATATATAAATTACAATTCTATATTTCAGTTATGTTTAAAAATTCAAAACAGGCATACTTAATTCTGAAATACAAAAATCGTTTCCTTCATTAATTACTCTCATGCTATTAACAGACATGTAACTAAAGTTATAAATGTCCCTGATGTATTGTACTGCATCCATCAACTTTATTCATAGCTCTTCATTCTCCCACTTTCCACATCACATATTCCACTTGTATAAGGAAGTCATATATAAGTTTCACTTTCTTGGCATAATTCTGATTTTCATGTTGACAGTTGTGCTGTTAACTTTGCTACAATGAACTTGGGAGTCATTCTTAATTGTGATGCAAGTACTTTCAACAATATTAGAACTTTTATAACTTCTGTGCAGGCCTTACTCATGCAGTCTGCTTCTAGTGTGCAGGTGATCCTGTGGTTACATTGTCAGACCTTATTGATTGAAGAATTTGGGTGCTAGTATCACGTTAGATGATACCAGTACATTAATTTTTATTTCTTCCACCTTCTCCTGATACTTATATTGTTTATGTTGCTTTTAGAAGCCAGAAAACTATTCATAGTCTTCATATTTCTTGCATTTATCATGCTAATGGACTTTTAACAGGGTTATATTCCACTACTAATATTACTTTTCAAGTTCTTTACCTTCAGATTGATTACTTATTGGTGGAGGGGGGGGGGGGTCTTCCACTTTGACCCATTGTTGGTTTTCTGCCCTGCATGCTATAATTTATCATTCTGACTTTTTTCTTTTGCACAATCTAATTCTTCCAAGTCTTTTTGTCAGGATCATATATCTACCTGGCAGTTCCCATTAACTATGGGTCTCACTGATATTGTTTCTATTACCATATGGCTCTGTGATCTGAATAATGAGTAAAGTTAATTCAAATGAAAATTATAAATAATTGGTGTTAAAATAATTGATATTGTGCTATTTATGCTTGTGCTAATTCTGATTTGTAAATGACTTATAAAGTTGATAAACATTACACTTCACCCTTTTAACATAGTTCACAGCACAATACCCCTCGACATGGAATCCTGTACATGGTGAGGGGACCTCCCAGGG